GGTGTGGTGCTTAGGGACGTGGTTTAGTGGTGGGCTTGGCCGTGCTAGGTTAACAGTTGGACTTGATGGTCTTAAAGGTCTTTTCCAACCTAAATGATTCTATGATAACTGAGTAGCAACAACTATTGCAAAACAATAAAGATATGGTAAGTTACATGTACTATCATGTTACCTACATTTCAAAAACTCTTTTCAGTAAAAAGACTGTTTCTCTGTTTCTAGAACTTCTTGCCAGCTATTAATAGAAGATTTTGCTGACCAGGCTGTAAGTGAGCTACACTTCTGTGTTTATGTCATGATTCCACAGCAGATTTCTTTTGTCTTTCAGGAAAGGATGTAGCTGACAGATGGTACAGTGAAATAAAAAATTACAGCTTTCAAAACCCAGGGTTTTCTTCTGGGACAGGTAAGTTCAGACCAGGCACTGTCTCTTCAGAAACCTAACTTTTATTTTAAGAAATTGACTAGCCAACTTGTTTGATATTTTTCAAAACTCTACCTTTTTTTCTTGAAAAAAAAAAAAAGAGGGGAAAAAATTATAATGTCCTCCAAGTTTTATGTTAGAAATTGGCAGAAGGGTAAAAGAAAACTGAGAAATGAGGAAGTAAGCAAAATTTGTGGGTTTAATACTGTATTTTTCCTTCAACTCCAAAGTTTTTAAAAGGCAACTTATTTTTAAGGCAAATTCATGTGTAAAAAATACTAAATTGGAATCATATAGGTGTCTTACTAAATGTACTATGCTGTTGTTTACATTGACGTGTGACTTCTACCAAATTATATCACTCGGATCACAGAGATCACTTTAGATATAGTTTGGGAATCAGGAACAGGCCATTGACTGCATATTGACAATCCGGTGTTGAATGAACGTAAGAACATTTTTCCTTGAATAATGCTGAAGTAAGAGATATGCCTGAGCTTGTTTCAGGTGAAGAAAATCATGTTTTTCTCCCATGGGATTTGTCTATGCATAGAGGGAACAACTGACGGAGCAGCACAATGCAGGGGTGGCTATTACGACTAGGCAGCAGAAGCCACAAAACCAGTTATTATTTTGAACAGTTGCAGATACAGACACATGGGGGAGTATGAGATGGCTAAAGCAAACGAATAATAGTCACTGTCAGAACTGCTATGCGCACTATAGGGAGTAAGGACTGTGATGTCTTTGTCGAATTCTGTATCAGATGATACTCATCAAACAACTTCTTTCATGATTCTCCTACCAGCTATTCTTATTTGGATATAGGACATGGAAATGGGAATAGTAGTGAGGAACTGGATCAGATCAGGCTTTTTCAAGATAAAATGCTAGATGTAGGGTTTTTTTTCCTGTCCTTAGCTTATGCTTCTGTTAGAGAAAGAAACAGTTTTGTATTGTTCTTTCTTTCCTCGCCCATCATGTGTTAAAGGGAATGTTATAGATTTAGTACCTAAAATGAATGCGTATGTTTCTCTTTCTTTCTCCAGGTCACTTCACAGCAATGGTTTGGAAGAACACAAAAAAGATGGGAGTTGGAAAAGCATCTGCTAGCGATGGCTCAACATTCGTCGTGGCTAGATATGATCCAGCTGGAAATGTCGTAAATCCAGGCTATTATGAAGAAAATGTCCTTCCTCCAAGAAAATAACTTTTTTTTTTTTAAAAGGTACTCTTATTGCTTAATGACAAGTGAACCTGGATTTGGACTTAACACTGTTTGAAATGAAGTGCCATTCAATGAAATTTCCTGTTTGGTACTGCTGTTCCCTTCTCATTACAGAGGAAGCAATTACATGTTGCTTGAGTCAATCTGCACATTAGGTCTCTGTTGTTTCTGAGGGGACTTCCGTTTATTTGAGGGTGAAGTACATTCATCATTTCTGAAGGATAAAATTTATAAGTTGGGTTTTTTTAATGGTTTGCATGAACTCGGTGTCAGCATGTGAGTTAAGCACATGTTGGATATCTTTTTTTTTTAACCAAGCAAATTTATAGCTTTCTGTAAACTGAAGATACCAGCTTGTAACTATATCACATGTTCCCAGTTTTCCACTATTTTTTAATAACTGTAACTTCTTTGCTCTATCTATACCTCCTGCTACTGTGGGGCCTTCTCTCTGCAGATGGAACATATGCAAAACTTCCCATATGAAAGGTAAACCTGTAAAATGTAGTGGCATTCAGACCTAGGTGTTTTTATTAAGAGGATCTCACAGAACACTAAAACATTGCTGGCAAAATTGTATCTGTCAAGCAAGCCATATCTAATGCATGACCTGAAAGCTACTAAAATTGTTTAAATCCAAGCATTACATTTTAGGTGCTAATATTTAAAATCTATTTGAGATGAGTGTATTTCAAGTTCAAAGCCCATCTTACAGTTTAAAGTGTGTACATTGTCTTATAATCAAATCGTTTACTTCTGTCACAGGAAAATAAGATACTACTTTTTCTCTTAGATATTTACACACAGAAGAGATTCTTTGATGGAGCACATTGGATTTTATTTCTCAATAACTTATTTTTATTTCCTTTAGGAATATCTTCTGCAGGTGTCAAGCTATACAGACAATGACATTCCCAAATCATCTCGTCTCCTTTAATAATGTTGCAGTAGAAGGTATTCACATGGTCGTAATTAAGAGACGTTTACTCTTTGATCATATCATTCAATAATAGTAAAAATATTTCACATGCTGGATTGATGCCTTGAAAAATTTCAGGTGGAATTTCCTTAAAAGCAAGCAAGCAAAAATTCTGAGGACACTTTTTTCTCTTATGAAATGTGGATTGGGCCATTTTGGCGAGGTTCATATACTGTGCTTCAGTCTGGGGTTTTCTTTTCTTTGTAAATGCTTCTTTTGACTTCTGCTGAGATTCTGTATGCCAGAATTTGGCTCATGAAGATTGCCATTACAGAAATAGTTCTTTTTGTTTACACAGTTGTAATAAACTGCACTGTTACAGCTTGATTATATGTCACTGTGATGCTGTATGTTACAATCTTTTTCCTGTAACCAAGAAGTCAACGCATATGATGAACATCTGAAAATTAAATATTTTTGAATATGAATTACTCAAGCCTTTGTTGTTACCTAAGTCTTTGTTGAATAATCTCCAAATTTTATCTCCAGGACATTAACATATGACGTTATTACTTTTGCAACATGGAGCAAATAAGACCAGCAAGTATTCTAGTCCAGGAAAGAAAGAAGAGACCTTCTAAGAAATGAGAAATCATACAGCAGATCGTACATCATCCCTTTATACAAAGACTGAGCTAACACTTGAAGCCGAAGCTGAAGAGGCGTTCCTCTTTCTCTCTTGAACTCCTCCTTTGTATCTCATTTCATTTCTGCTGTTCCCTCTCTCAGATGATGCATTCTCAGTAAAGACTACCCGCTCGACTCCCACTCAGACTTGTCTGTTTCAGTAACTGCAGTCTTGGGGCCTTCCTCTCTTCAACCCTCAGCTGACAAATGTTGCAGCTCCAAATAGGCTAAGGTTTTATGTAGAGCACTTTATCATCCCTGAGAATGAAAACAGGACTTTCTAAAAAAATAACAGGCTTGCTGCAACTAATGTAAAGGTAAAAGCTGATGTTAAAGAAATTAACTGTTTTTTCCTAATTACTTTGCTGCTATTGGCCCTATAATTCCTTCAACGGTTGGTGTAAAACTGTATGTATCCAACTTGAGTGAGTCAAGTCAGAATTTTTCTCTGCTGCCACTTCAGTTTTATTTTAATGTCAGAGAGAACTGGGAAGGGAGGTAAAGAGAGGACAAAACAAAACAAAGCTTGTAGTTATCTTTATTTAAAATGATAGTGGCAATTGAACTTCCAGAGCATTTTGAGGAGGCATCAGAGGTAATCAGACATGGAAGGAGCACAAAGCCACTCAAATAGACTCAACGCATGCTTCATGCACCCCCCAGAGAGTCCATGAAAGTATGATCGTAACAATTTTAAAAACTACTGTCAATTTAAGTCTTTGTGACCCAAGATCACGATGTTGATGCCTTCTGCAAATGAACTCTGGCTGCGCAGTAAACTGTGTTGTACGTGGGAGTCCAAATGCAAAGGGAAGGGTAACGTTGCCGATGTGACTCACTCAAAAGCTGTATGATTTTTGGGAAGTGTACGCTGAAACCTGACTTACCAACCATCTGTATTAAAAGACTCTGTGTAGGTGTTTTGCTCCACTCTCTACCACATCTTGGAGAGTTGTGGCATCTTGGGAGGTGGCAAAGAAAGGTTATTCCCTGTCATGCTAGAGCAGAACAAGGTGTTTAAGAGCTTCCTCAGCTAGGGTTGTACACATAGAAGTCATGTTTGCCCTGGAATAAAGAAAAGGCTGATCTGACAGCCCTGATACCAGAGAAAAATACCTATCTTTAGAGGCCTGCAGATGGTTTCTAAGGCCTTTTTGCAGCAGGAGGCAGAGGAGGAGGAGGAGGAGGAAGAGGAATTCTAGTTGGTCTGAGGCTTCATTTCCAGTCTTCTGGGTTAAATAATAACAAAGCACTTAGAGAAGAAGTGGGACTGGTCTTTAAAAAGTGCTAAAAAGGGAAACCTGCATTACGCATTTTAATTTGCCAACTTCCCTCCTTTATCTTCCCAAAAGGACAAAACCCAGGCAATTCCTCCTCCAAAAAGTCGAAGAGGACATTGAGAAGTGGTAGAAGTACTGTTAGAAGACATCAGATCACACAGAAAGCCACATCACGTGAACAATAATAAGCCGATGAGCAAAAAAGATGCAAGCTTTGTTTTTGGGGAGCTCAGCCACTCTGCTTGTCTCCAGCTTTAATTTTTCAGGTGAATTTGCCTCCAACAAAGCGGTTCACTTCACTGGGTGGACTGCAGAGAAGTCATGTGAGGCTGGCGGACTGCTGACCTGCAGGCTTTTTCAGTATCACGTGTCCTAAGAATGTTTTTAGCTTTTGTGGGTACCTCTAAATTTGATAGCTTTTTTTTTCTCCTCTGTCTAATTCAGTAATTAAAGACCCTTTTCCATGCATCTAGTGTTAACGCTAATTTGAACTGTCTTTTCAGCATCCATTTTCTTAAGTTCCTACAATGTCCAAGCAGGCAGTTGCAAAAAAGCCAGGTATGATTTCAACTGAGGTAACAGGTTAAGAAAACATACTTTTAAGAAAGCAAAGAACTCACTGGCATTTAGTTTGCCCCTGTGGTGATGGCTGTTTTGATCTATATTAGAAAGCCCAGAACACGGTAATGTGAACAAAGCCACAGACCGTCCCCATCTGTTGATTATGAACAGCGATGCTGCTGGTCTTGTGGTCGCAGTATACATCATTGCCACGTCTTCTCTCCTCCAGAGGCTTTGTGAGGGAAGGGCTATGTGTAAGATGGCAACTGAAGGCTGTTTGACCCCAAGCATAGTGGAAAAGGGGCTTGAGATGTCACAAAAAAAAGCTGGTGAGCTGAAGCCACCTCCTTCCTTTCTCGAATTTGGCAGTAAAAATCTCAGAAAACTGCATTTCTAGGGAGAACACAGGAAAAAGTCGGGGTAGGCTGTTTCAGTTATTACATGGTAGGAAAGTGAAATTTGAAAATTACATTGTTATTTCTGTTTCCTTTACACAACCTAAAGAACAAAAAAACTTGTCTACACATCTACCTCCACAGTGAGCTGTTGCATCCTTGTACTGCTTTTCCCAAACCATACCATAAGGATATGGTGAGGCTGAGTTTTAATACCTTTCAGCAGTCTCTGCCTCTTTGGGGGACATCACAGGTTAATTTCTGCTCCCCAAAGCTCTGCACACCAGACTGTGGGATTTTATTTCTTGTGACAGGAGCACAAAACAGGAGTTGCACTAGGCCTGGGTTTTCCTATATGATCAGCCTGAAGCAAGTCACAATCCAGAAAATAATCTGCTGCTTCAAGCTGTTAGAGAAGCCCTTTGTGAAAGATATTAACTGCTGAAAGCTAAGGAGGGCCTGAGAGTCTCCAGCAGTGCCTGGGTTCAGCCTCCCCTTCCCTGCCTCTGGAGGCATGCTCTGACAGTGGGTGCCCCTGCCACCCTCCTGGGATGAGTGCCATCCCTGTGCTCCCACATGCCCCAAACCCAAGCAACCCCCTCTCCCCTGTGCTCCTCCCCATACACTTCATAGTTCCTCTGTTCCTTCACGGAAAGTAGGGCTTTCTAGCGGAGTTTACCTTTGCACGACCTAGCAGTCACTGTAAATCAGCCTTTCAAGGTTCCTCTTTCGAGCTGGTTTACTCTCTTGAGCAGTGCCGTCAGGGCCCCACCTACCATATCCTCTAGTAAGAAGTTTCACGTTCTCTGCTTTTGCTCAAATGCTATTTCCTTTCTCAGTCCTGAGCTGTCTGTCCCAGCTTGTCTAGGAGGATGCTGAGCAAGACAGGATTGCAAGAATCTTGTCATTGCTGCAATGGCTTTCCATTCTGCCAGGTGAACTGGAAAGAAGTAACAGAAAAAGCAGACATGGATTGCATGGACAACATGCAGACTAGGATCCGTGCAACCTAGGAAAAGCTGTGAAGAGCTCTGCAGAGAGCAAGAGTACATTAAAGCACAGCCAGGATGCAGAGCTTGTGAATCTGCAACGCCTGGGAGCAGGCTGCCTGGGCAAAGCCGTATTGAGAGGTCATAAAAATCCAGAATCAAGGTTCGTATCACAAACGGGTGGGAACTTTCAGAACAACTTCTCCCCTATGCATCAGCTCTGGGGTGCTCACTGATTTGTCAGGAGGGAAGTCCAGCTGGTCGTCCATTTTTTGGAGACAATCATGAAGGCCCTTTTGCCCTCAGCTGTGTCTGTAGGGCTGCAGTCTCCCCTTTCTCCCTCAGCCTTTGGGGCCAAAGTAACAGGGAGAGCTGGAGCACTTGGGAAACCCAGTCTCTGGCCCCACCACGCCTGATGCTCCTGCTGCAAGGCCCAGCAAGGCCTGTAAAGCCCCGGGGCAGGAGATCGCAAGCTCACAACAAGAAATGCCAAAGCGTTAAATATCCCCTCTCTTCCTTACAGCAGGCAGTAAAATACAGTTTACTGGGATTGTGCTGGAAAAGAAGAAACAGAAGAAACAGCATGCAGGGTCTCCGACAGATTTC